CTCAGCAGGAATTGAAGGATATCAGCATATCCCTAAAATCATAATCTTAAGTGATGAGCATACAAGGCAAGCAGCAAAAGAGAGGGGTGGGAGTTCAATTCCAACCTCTTCCTTATAAACCACTGCTCCCTGTGCAACTAAATAGCGAACCATGTAGATGTTATTTTTCTCCACAGCCAATGCAAGAGGAGTTGCACCAAGATTGTCATATTTTTCTAAATTGCAATTATGTGAAATAAGAATAGAGATGGAAGCCTCATCATTATTGTCCACTGCAACATGCAACGCAGTCCGTCCAAATTCATCAACCCCATTCACGTCAGCTCCATTCATCAATAGTTCATTTGCAATGCCAAGGAACTTTAGCATCACAGCTAAAATGAGTGGTGTAATTGTCGGTTAAATCAACTTCATCCAAACGATCTAATGGTGCACCATAATCAATCAAGAGCTTTGCTGCCAAGAGGTAGCCTTTCTCGACCGTCATGCAGAGAGCGAAAAACATGTCCATTTTCTTCGTCTCTCTATCTGTCTCTTCAACATTCAGCAAGACTTGAAGGATATCCGCGCGGCCCTAAAATCATAACATCAAGAGGTGGACTTACAATGAAGGCAGCATAAAGAAGAGGTGAAAGTTCATTTTCATGCAGAAACTTATAAACCTTTGCTCCCTGTGCAACTAAATAGCGAACCATGTAGATGTTATTTTTCTCCACAGCCAACGTAAGAGGAGTTAGACCATCGTTGTCATATTTTTCTAAATTGCAATTATGTGAAATAAGAATAGAGATGGAAGCCTCATCATTATTGTCCACTGCAACATGCAACGCAGTCCGTCCAAATTCATCAACCCCATTCACGTCAGCTCCATTCATCAATAGTTCATTTGCAATGCCAAGGAACTTTAGCATCACAGCTAAAATGAGTGGTGTAATTGTCGGGTTATTTGGGAAGACATTTGGGTTGACCTAGAAGAATATCAATGTAGTTTGACTTACATTGTTTGCCAGTTGAATTCTCACAGAATCAATGTCATTTTGAGTGATAGCTTCATAAAGTGTTTGCTGTGGCTCGGCCATGGTGTGAGAAGCCAAGAGAATACTTGCCACTCAAATATGATCAAATTCATATTGATATTTTGAGAAAATACTTTAATCATTAATCAGCAGAGTGACGTCAACGATTGGTCAAATCTATTAATTCGGTTATAAGTAACCAATAGATGTTTGAGTGCTTGATGTAATATTGGCCAATTCCTTGTCCTAATGAGGCGTGAAATCGAACGAATGAATGTCTGACAAGTTTAGGTAATTTGACTGAATACATCTCGAGCAGAATTTAATAAAGTTCCTCAAATAGAGCTTGCATCAGAAAAATCGAATTTTATTTGACTATGGTATGGTAATTGAACGAGTTCAGTGTTCAGGGAGTTGTGCATTGTTGTTGGCAAACCTCCTATCCACCCTGAATTTAAAATGACAAATGTCAAAGCCATCTCAATTCTTCCTGCCAATGCAACCCCAATTCAGAATATGATATTCACAACGTATTATCAATACGTCTTCCAACACCGCTCTCATATCTATTTAGTATAAAATTTCCCTATCTCTTCAGAAATTCGCAAAACCATATTGTCTATGAGCGTGGAGATACACCTAAATTAAACTTATCCTATGTGACATAATATATTCTGGAAGCTATTGTGGGCCATTTTGTGATTTTATTTAGCATTTATATAAAGCAATTATACAGAAAATATTTTTTGAAAAAAAAAATTTTGAAGTGCGCCGACCCAATTATTATTAGGCGTAACATGAAATGTTAAGAGATTCGATTCACATAATTGAAAACACTTTTATATAAAATCTTATAATGACTACATTATGCGGCGATGTTGAAGGGAAGAAATTTGTCAAGTACATTTCTCATGGAAGCAGTAAGCGTACGCACCAATGATTAATTTGATACAATTAACTTTATTTAATATTGTAATAAATTTTATTTCTTTTTTCATTGGTCAGTAATGTAGCACTTTGTAATGATATCCTTTTTTCCACCGTGGCAATAAGATTTAGCCTAATTTTAGATATCTGCATTTGGTACTAACTAAGTGATTTATTTCAAATTGCATGCGTTTTGACCGTTATCATTAGCCCTTTAGCTGATTTCGGGCTTCATAGAGATTAGGAGAAATATCACAGTGACAAAAGGACGAGAGGGGGGGACAGAATAATTATTTATAGATATAACGGAGACAGACAGATACAAGGGCAGAGAATAGGTAAGATAAGTACTGTGAAAGGGGTCGAATGTGACATGTAGTCGGGCCAGATAAGTACTGTGAAAGGGGTCGAATGTGACATGTAGTCGGGCCATGGTAGTTTGAAGTCAGAAGTTAACTGCCGGTTTATAGACTATTTTGTCACATAAGTATACACTGCCCAGGGTGCACCACATGGAGGTAAGTCTATCTCAAACCCCAGAATGAGTAATATTTTATATTATTATTCAGATGTCATCAATTCGGGTATTAATCTGTCATGGCTAATTTAGCAGAGTAGTATGTGATAGTATTACGATCAGAATGAAATCCACTTGATAATATATATTACTCCATAGATTGAACGAAGTTCCACGTGGGCATTCTTTTCGATTAAACTTTATTACAATAGGGACTATGATAACCTGCTGAGAATAGAATTTCCTTTCTCACACTGTTTATATTCTTAAAAACTATTTAAAACTAGTTTGACCTACATTAATCGCATACGTATTCAAGGCATATAATACTGTAATAACATTGCATATGGTTTTTTATTACTATATTAAATGGACCTATCTCACTAAAACTTTAAATGGTCTTAAATTTAATTCCCATTGTCATTATATCGAATGGATCTTGAATTTAAAACTGTTGATATTCATTAACTAAGATGTTGGAGTTATCTTCGCAATCATATGCCTATGAAAATTCTAGTCTTCAAGGAAAAACCCTTAAAAAGATAGCTTTTGTTCTTTTACAACACAATAATTTGATCATTTCGTTAAATATCATTTTAAAAATTTTCAATGCACCTACAATTTGAGTTTACTAATATTATAATTGGAGGTTGAAATTTGAGTCAACTGCTAATGATTTCAATTACTGTAAAGTATAAAATTTGGAAATCGTAAATTATTCTCAATAATATCCTCCGAATCCCGTATAAATATACCATATTCATAGTTATAAAACTAACAACTGTTATGATTTATTCAATCCATTTCAGCCAACAAATATTAACCTGTTTGACTATAATCATGAGTGTAGCAGGAAATTGGTGCCTTATTGAAAGCGATCCAGGGGTATTTAATGAATTAATGGCCGGTTTTGGTATGAAAAATATCAGGTCTAAGTTTTTTCAGGTGCCGATGGTTTAGAGTGTATTGAAGTCTATGACACTCAAAATACAGAATTCTTCAAGGATGCTCTGGGGCTTATTTTTCTATTTCAGTGGGAACATGATCAGAAGAAGGAATCAAAATCTCTTGATTTTGTTGACGATAACTCAATATTTTTTGCAAAGCAGGTTATCAATAACGCCTGTGCTACTCAAGCCCTTATAAACGTTCTTTTCAACGTATCCTCCCCGAATCTAAAACTTGGGACCACGTTAACAGATTTCAAGTCGTTTGTTGCAGATTTTGATAGTCATGTAAGAGCATTGTATTATAATTATTCCAATTGTAGATGAAAGGCACTGCGTTATCGGATTGTGAGAAATTGCGTCTCACGCATAACAGTTT